TCAGAATTTATTGCTGCTGCATCTTGTGCATGTCAGGCCGTATGGTTAGCAAGGGTATTGGAGAAGATAGGTCAAGCTCAGGATAAAGCTACTATGATTCATTGTGATAATAGTTCAGCAATTAAATTGTCTAAAAATCCAGTGATGCATGGTCGTAGCAAGCATATAGATGTGAGATTTCATTTCCTTCGAGAGCTCGCAAAGGCAGGCACAGTGGAGCTAATACACTGTGGCACACAGGATCAGGTAGCTGATGTAATGACTAAACCACTCAAGCTTGATGTTTTCTTGAAGATGCGTGAACTGTTGGGGATGTGCTCAGAGTCTGTTATAAACTGAATGTCTGTGAATTCAGTTTAAGGGAGGAATTGTTGGGTTGAGTCCTGGTCAATAGGAGTTTGTTGCTTGCTTAGTTAATAAGTAGTTCCTACTTATTAGCTGTTGACTTAGTTTCTCCACGTCTTTAGATATTTGTTAGACGTGGTTGTTATTTTTCCTTGATTCCTGTTTTTGTAAGGCTATTTATATAGCCAAGTCTGATATTCAATAGATAAGTGAGTTTGCTCCCAACTTCAGTTTTGCACTAGTTCAAACTCTGTTTCAATTCAAACTTTGTTTCAACATATCAATTCTTATGTTTCGACCTATCTTTTGAAATATTTTAGAAATAAAATTTTAATTTTTTTTTTTTATTTCTATCTTATTTCTGAAATATTTTCAAAACGGTTTCCTTCAAAACTTACCAAAATCATATAGCGAAACGAAATTTTAATTCTTACATTCGTCGTTCGTAGAGGGACATGATATCCCTGAAAGACGATTCTGTTTCCAGAGCCATGGCCCAATTCTTTTTCCCTGCAGAAGTCATGGGTCACGGCCCCATACCTTCTGTCCTCGGTTGAATTTTCAGTGCTGAATTTGGCCCAGTCCGGCCCATGACTAGTCCTATCCAAACTAATATGGCTCAAATCCAAACCCCCACTCTTTCTCTGTGCTCGATCGCCGCTCTCTCTCTCTCTCACACACACACACACCCGCACACACACACTCTGAGATGAGTTCGGGCTTTTGAGCTATAGGTGACATGTAAACTTCTCGCTGCACACTTCTCTCTTATTTTTTCAACCGTTGAGACGAAGCAGAAAACTGATCTGTTCTTTGTTTCGTCTGTCAGAAACTTGAAGCAGTGAGGAGAAATGAAGTTTCTGGATTGGTACTTGAAGATAGCAATTGGGTCAGCCATGATTGGAGGTTCCATGGAGTTTTTCATGATCAAAACCGGCTTCTGTGTGAGAACCCTCCTTTCTGTTCTCCTTTATTTTGTTTCTTTCTATAATTTCTTCGTTCTTTCCATTTTGTTTTGGTTCATAAAGGATTGTTATTTAGTTTTCCTTTCAACTGGCCCGATTTGGGTCTCTGTCTAGACTACAAAACCCTCTATCAACTGTTTGAAATTTTGAGATTTGCATACATAACGTAGAGAATTGAAATATGAAACTGCATCGCCCCAAAGAAGAACTTTCGGATTTTTCTTACTTCCTAAGAGAAGATTGAATCTGATATTTAGAAGTTTCAAACCTTGTATTACATACCTGTCCCTACTAGTATTGGGGTGTTTTTGCTTGAGCTGTACGAGATGAAAGTCTCAGATCTTAGACGGGGAGTCCCGCCTATTTCAATAAAGTCTATGATTGGTTTGAAGAACGGCTCGAGATTCAGGTGATTGGGGATGATATAACTAGTAAATACGTGCCTCCTCATGTCAACATATTTTGTTGTCTAGGAGGAATTACTTTGACGTATTGATCACATGGGTTTCTAGTGATGTGAATGTATGTAAACCAAAAAAGCTAGTCATTTCATCGAATTTTGCTTGGACAACTATCATTTTTCATTTTCATCTAAGTATAATCTATATTCTGGTTCAAGTAGGTTTCATTTTTGGAACTGCTATTCTTTGCCTTGATCTAAATATATGTTGAAGGATTGAATAAAGGAAGTCCAGTGACGTGTCTGACTTGTTTTGATGAACGATGTAGCTGTGGCTGAGATTGCATTTTTACAAAACAGACTGAAACTTCTTCCTGCATTTGGATGGATAATATATGTGATCTGATCAGATTAGATTCATGTCAAAAGTTGAACAAAGAAGAACTTGAATATAAATCAGCATCATGACAGGTATGTAGGTTTTCTTTTTTACAATCACACATCAGTAATCACCTAAGAAACTTATGCAACTCCTTGATGATCAACTATACAAATTGTAAGAAAAGTGCTTCAAGAATGTTATAAAGGTTAGGAAAAATTGAAGAAGACAGACTGTGTTGGTTGGAAACTTTTACCACCTGCAGTGCATCTTTCCTGCAAGTCATCATCAAGTAATGCAAGGACGCATTGGACTTGTATTTGCTTATGGATCAGAACTAAATTGTAAATTGAGCTAATAATGGAAAAAGGATTGGATTTTAATCCTGCAGGTCCAGAGCTATAAGCTTTTTTCATTACTAGTCACCTTCTTCTACTCTACTCATCGTTGTCAATGATGGATCACACTTTTTCTCTTTGAGACATATCATTTCTTCTTGCCTCATCCTATACCGAGTACTGATCATCTATTAATCTATTCCTTAACAGTATGTACTTGCTTAATCACTTTACCAATACATGCAAATTATATGTATTGGCTCGACCTTATGCCTACTGATGATGATGATATCCAATTCATATTCTTTCACTTTAGCAACTTCTGTATTTTGTGGATGTTGGTGTTAAATTAGCATGGTGAGCAGCATGTCTAGATTAGTTAATTTATATTGGTATAAAACTGATTTTAGTTGTTCTAGATTTGAGTATTAGCCTAAGAGATTGCAGTGATGATTTAGAAGGTAAGAGATAAAGATAGGAGAGGTCTTTTGGTCAGAAAAGTGAGTGCATCTTGAGCCTTTCAATTTAGTTATAGGAAAGCATTAAAGATAGGGGGAAAAAAAAGGAAAATTAAGGGGGACAGTAAAGAGATAAGAATATCTAATTTAGTACAATTCTATCACTGCATTATGATTAGATATATCTTTTGAAATTTTGTCCTTTGGGAACCCAAGGATTTTCAATTAAGTTCATAATGGTTCTTGTCTGACCAATTGTTGGTATGAAATAAGGCTGAAGTTCTTGAATGTATAAACTATAGTGTGAGCATATATACATCTAGACATTCAAAATTAACCGCTAAAAAGGCCCCTAGATTTAGTTGGGTGGCAAACTTTGGGTTTTGACATGCATTTATAGAACTTTGCACAATTTCATTTGAGCTTGTATCAAAAACTCATTCATTAAAATCGTATCACTGCATTATGTTTAGATTTATCTTTTGAAATTTTGTTCTTTGGTTACTCGTGGTATAATGGGAACTCATTTATAAGAATGTAGTTTCACACTCTGAAAAATCATCAAAAAACTCGGATTCACTTGTACTCATAGTCATAGTCAAGATACTGATTCTATAAATGGTTTTCAACGAAGTTCATAATAGTTCTTGTCTAACCAATTGTTGGTATGAAACATGGCTGAAATTCTTGAATATAAATTATGGTGTTAGCATATACGTCTAGATATCCAAAAGTAATTGCTAAAATGGCCCCTAGACTTGGTTGGTGTTAGAATTTGAGTTTTGACAAGAAATTATACAACTTGGCACAATTTCATGTGAGTTTGTAATTGTAAGTATGGCCAGTGTTTCATGCTCAAACTCATTTGATTCATTCATATTGTCGTCTCTATTAACAGAAATAACTTGTAATTCAAACTCTAATACACCCTTGCATTTCTGAATTGTGCAGATGACAAGGTGACTGCTTTGGAGACGGAGAAGAGGGCCTGGGAGAGTTCACCTGAAGCTCAGGCAATGAGAGAAGCTCTCAATCCTTGGAAAAATAATGATGCAGAATCAAGAAAAAGTTCATAGCCAGAACACATTATCTGTTGCTGTACCATTTTTTTTTTATAGGAATGGCTTTGTTAGTTTACAGCCCTTTGTCAGATCAATAAGCCCACATCTGGTTAGATCGTAACCCTGTGCCCCTGGTTTTTATCGATCTGGTGTCGATTAGATCCCTCCTTTGGTTCGGTATCTATTTCCTTTTTGTTTATCTTGTTTTTGGTTAAGCCCTTACCACTAGCTTCGATCGGATGTTAACCTGTGGACGCATCATTTGCGACTCTCTTTCATTTTTAAGATGAATGAACAAAATTCTTCTTTTCTCGACCATCAAGCCTCTTGTAAGATTTTGGATTTGTTTGTTATCTATGCCGTTACGTCAAAATGACCTAATGGCATACAAGGACCTACTGAGAAGGGCCCCGACTTGTCTACTCAGAATTTTGCTTTAGTGACAATACAAGCAGGGAGAATTGTTGTCGAGGGCGAGTTCCTTGGCCTTCATGGTTGTATGGCATCTGCTTCTGCATCTCAAACAACCATTCTGATTCTCTGCTATTACTTCATCGACTGCCTGAGTCCTATATGATGTCTGCCCAGCAAACACGTGTCCTGGCTTCAAGAAAATCAGAGTTTCTATACAATGTTGCAGAAATAATGGATCACTGGTTGCACTTTGATACGGGTTACTATCGTTTCAAGTTTAGATCGTCAAATGTGAAGACATGGGATCGATGTTGTGCATACCCAATTTATGCCTCGAATGTGCGAACAAAATATTTAGGTCATCCTGTACAAATATTAGAAGAGGGTTGGGGGGGGGGGGGACGATTCAAGGTTACCATGGTGCAAAAGTATAATTCTGGTATGCACACCAAAAAATTTGTTGCATTAGCAAATAAAATACTAGAATTTCCCCTGATGGAACAAATTTTCATCATTTTAGGTTTACAACATGCTCGCCACAACATTCATGAGAGGATTGAGCTTGAAGGAGCAAATGTTAAATGACTTCCCGACACCCTCAAGTATATGCTCTCAGTATCATATAAGCATCATTAAAGAATTAATGACTAGCCTCGGGAGCATGTTGCTGAGAATAGCTACCTGCAGTGCTGTTAGCAGGAGCAGCACCTCCACTGGGATTGGCCTGATACATGGCTTGCATAACGCCAGAGGAGGCATCATTTGAACTAGGGGCTGGTGGTGCGGCATTTAACATAGAAAGATTAGCCTGCATGGGCATGGAAGGCGCAAATGGGCCCTGTCCTGCATTCGGTGCCATCCCTGGAACTGTCCCATAACCTGTCAAAAGCCATAAAAAGGAGATGCAATTTATTGTTGCCGAAATGACAAAAGAGAGACACTGTGCATGGGTGTATCACATAAGACATGGCTTGGAACATAATTCATATGCATGAACTAGAATCAAGTACAACCACAAAGGTGAAGAAACACAAAAGAAAAAAGACAATGAAGGAGGGACATACATGATTAAATCACAGGAATTAGCCGAACCATGCCAGTCTATTATGCCGTAAAGAAAGTTGTAGTTACTAATAGTTTTACATATCAAACATTTTTAACCACAAAAATAAGAACTTCCAAGTTCCAAGAGATATAAGACATGAAAAATCAGGATTTAGTATCCCTTAACATTTGTATCTGCCAATAAATATATCAATGAGTAAAAATAAAATCTATATGAACCAACAAAACACATGAAACAACAAGAAATCAAAAACATTCATAGTTAAATAGTGAGGAAGCAGTCAAGGCAAATATTAAATCAATTGCAATTTCCAAAACATTGAGGAAGTGTGCATCTTATTTTTTGAGAAAGAAAATATTGCAGTAATCTAAAATCCAGATTTTTTTTTTGTTTTGGGGGGGGGGGGGGGTGGTGTTCTGAGGGAAGAGGATGAACTTCTTGAATTTTCAGTCGGAAAGGTTGAGATCTGACCAGTTTTAGCGTCATGATCTATGATCCTGGATTCACAGATACCCTTAACGGCCTGTGTGAACTGGGGTCGCACTGCCCAAGACGGAGTGGGTTTGCTATTCAAATTGCAAAAAAATCCTGATTCCAAATTTTAAAACAAACCACAAATTGGTTCATGGCCTAAGTAATTACAATAATAACCACAACCCGAAATTGTAATCATAACTAGTTATTTCTTTAAAAATATTAAATAAATAGTTGTTAACTAGGTTATATGGATGTATTATGCTATATAAAAGTTATAAAGAAAATCAAGACCTAAATTAGTGTACCACCTAAGTCTACCTTTATCGTACTGTGTATAAGAAAAAATATCATACCATGTACCAAATCAAACCATGATCCAAGTAACATTGGTCATGATTTCATTTTCTAAAAAGGTTTGAAAGTCAGGTGCCTATGAGTTGGATACTCGCTCACAGGCAAGACCACATAATAGACATGCCATAAAGGGTTGGTGTAAGATTTCATCTCCTTTTTTTTTTTTCGCCAAGGGTGTAAGGCTTCATCCCATCTATACAATCTGTGAAAAAACAAATCTCACCAGGGCTTAAGGGTTCATTCATAACTCACAACAAAACAAAATCAATAGATATGGAGAACAAAGTTGTCAAAATGTGTATTGGAGGGCGTATCGTTTTTCGAAAACACTGCATCGCGTATCCTATCGTGTATCGTAATAAACGTGCAATTTTATAAAAGATATTAAAAAATATATATACTTATGACAAAATGTCATAATAACATTTCATTGCACTACAAATTTCTCACATAAAACAATTTAAAGATACTACAATGACCAAAACAAAAAATTAATAATCTAAGTCTTGAATAATTCATAAATATCAAAATTTAGAGAGTTCTTCATCAAAATCAAAATTTAGAGAGTTTTAGTTCTAACATCTAAAGTAGCAAAAGTAGGACACTTTTAACAATCAAGTTATTTGCTCCCGCAATGGAACGAATGAAAAAGAAAACTTTTATTTTTTAAAACTGTAGATGGTGAAACAATATTGTTTTATTACTTAGTGTTTAAAAAAATAATTTTCAAGTGAAAAACATTGTTTTCTGATTAAAATTCAAAGAAATTTTTTTTGATCTATTTCGTCCCGTATCAGACAACTTATACGTATCGTCTTGTATTGAGTGTATTGTATCGTGTGTTGCATGATATGGTGCAAACCGAGAAACTTATGCGATCATATCATTTTCTTCATATAAGAAAACAAATCGTATGTATCGTATCACATATCGTATGATACTAACTATGATAGAGAATCCAACTCCTTAAAAGTCAACATAACATTTTCCTCATCGTCTTGAAATTGGGTAGGCTAGCACATTTGTATGTTTGAGCATGCAATCACATATTTACAAAGCGGAAAGCATGTGTGTGCGCTTTCTATTTATATATTGTAGGGCAAAAGGCTTTTATAATTAATATAATTATAGAATCTTAGATTTCTAGATTGTGTGAGGAATTTGAAAGCCTAGGCCTCATAATTGTAAGCAAAATAACAAGTAGAAATCACTAAGACATAAAAATACAAGAAACAGAATTTTACAGAAATGGTTGATAAGGATCCAACCATTTCACAAAAGGAAAGAAACAAAAAACACAAGGGAAGGGAAAGCAACAGTAACAACAGTTAATCACATCCAAATATAAAAATATGGACACTACTTCTTCTAGATACTACAACATTCATTCTTGATTGCCTAAATGAAAGTTTATTCTTAGAAATCAATTCCAATAAACTGCTAAAATTATTTCCAACCATTTTTCCTCTTTATTTTCATTTCCATCAAATAAAAGGGAGACAATAGACAGGCGTAGTAATCTTCTTTGACAATAGATAGGATATGAAATTCGCATTTCGAACAACAGTTTGTAGCAACAAATTATTCTTAGTGAGCCACCTTGGAAGTGCATGGATGCAAGTTTAAACTATTGACCCACTTCTTTATAAAATAAAACATGACATCCAGGCAAAAGAAACTAGAACGACAACCTAGACCAGGTCCCATACAATTCCTTATGAAATCTGTATATGCCCATGATTGATTGTCTCAACAGCTATACATGAAAATCAAGCAGATTTATAGAAAGCCACACCAATTGAAGGAAGAAATAGAAGCAGAGTTTCATGCTGATTGCAGTTATATATCGCACTATGGAGTGCCAGCATTATAGCAATATGTAATTACCAGCATAACAAATTGAGAGAAGTAGAGGAACTTGACATAGTGCGAATACGACGCAGGGAACTATTCCATGAATCTTGCAGAAAATCTTGGACATATTGATATTGGAAAAAATTCCTATTCAAATAATAGAGTATTTGCTGTACCTGGAGCTCCAGAGAAGGGCCGTGGCAAAACAGGAGGCATGACACCTGGAGCCATTTGTGAGGATGAAGCTGTGGGAAGAGGCAACACAGGTGGTGATATCATAGGCAGGTAGGGTCGTTGTCCGGGGAAAGAAGCAAGATGTTTATTATAAGCTGCACCAACTTGCTGGAATGCTGGGTTCTGCCCAAGATGTTGCTTTATCCTCTGATCAATCAAAGTCTGGGTTTGTTCCTCTTCAAACTTTTGATAGTAAGCCCGGACATTTCCCTGAATGCCATGTAATCGGAATTAAAATAATTGAACGGAGAATGAAGCTTATGACGAATAGAAAATCCTTTGTTAATTAATCTTTTTCAAGGGGTACCTTGTGTTTGTAACCTGCATTGTGCTGCTTTCTGACGGAAGGCTAAGAAAATAGAAAAGTAGTAAAAGTTCTCAAACTTAATTTCCTCAAAGTGAAAAGATTGAAAAGTTCAGAATAGTACAAGCATACAAGTTAAGGATAGTATAAGAATTGGTTGGGAGTAAAGTGTCCAGTATATACAGGCATCAAAGTTAAATCAAAGAATTCCTAACAATAATCAACTTTAGAATTCAATCTTAAAATCACATTAGAGGTTGACATTGTATTAACGTGCATAATACCGAAAGAAAAATGGAAGTATAGATTAACAGGGAATGTAGAAGCATTTAAACTAGAAGACATTTGCCTGTCAGGCCAAAAGATTATGATTCATAAATGGTTCAGAAAACTGAAATAGGGCAACCAACTACAAAAGAGCTATGCGTAGGATTTTGAATAATTGCACACACATCAGAAAAGAAGACAACATATTGCATTTGCAAGGTAAAAATGTCGGAGACAATAAGTTCTACTTCTACAGTCACATAAGCAACACCACAAACATTCCATTCAGCTTTTCTAGTTTAATCCATGGCATTTAATTTCACAAAAATAAAATAAAAAGCTTAACTTGCATATGTACAAAAGTTCTTTTTTTTCCCCTTCTTATCAACAACAACAGATTTGGAGCAAGCCCAAAACAAATTACAAGGCAGAGAAAAACATAAAATTGAAAAACTCACAGAATCATGTGTCAAGTAAGTGTCACAGTAGTCGCAATAATACCTGCAATAAAATCGCTATTAATCACTACAAAAAATACAAAAATTTTAACTAATACATCTGTGTACGAGTCAGAGGGTTGAAGATTAGTGTACCGAGGCATTATGGAAAATCCGAAAGAGAAAAATTCCAAGTTTCTGCACAAAAGAGGTGTTCATTAGGGTTTAACAACGAAGGAAACCAAGTTTACGAATAGCTCAAGAAAAAGTTACTCGAAGATGAACAGTTTATTTACCTAAAATCAACAGCGAAAAAGAGTCAATTAAGCAACGATTTGATGTGATCGCAGATTTCCTGTATTTCAATCCCTAACCCTAAACCCTCAAAGAGAGAGAGAGAGAGAGAGAGAGAGAGAGAGAGAGCTCAAAAGGTTCGCGGGGGCTGAACTGTTCGAATCGAACCGTAGAGAGAGGGTAGGTTCGGACGAGGATTGGAATTTGGAAGGCAGTTGAGGGCATTGCAAAGGCTTTTACAGAATGGGCTTTATTTTACCACCCAACCCAATATCTCCATGGGCTTTATTTAATCACCAAACCCAACACCGTCATGGGCTTCATTTTACCACCAAACGCAACACAATCATGGGCTTTATTTTAACACCAAACCAAATATTAATGGGATCTCTTTCACAAGCCACATAATGGGCTCGTGACATATGCGTAGCCCATTCTGTATGAGACTTATGGGCCTCTGACGTTAACTAGAAACATGGTTTTCGAGAGGATTTGACAAGATGGTGTTCTTGTTCATCTGATGAAGAAAGGAAAAACAGAAAGTTGTAGTGCTAAACTACATGGCCGTCGTTTTTTCAAACAAATAAGTAAATTGTTTAAATCATAGGTCCACATTAAAAATATATGACCTAAATAATTGATCAATAAGAAAAGAAGTCTAAAAGGATTCCAACACGAAATAAGAAAGATTTGGCTGGAAAATTAGGGGTGATAATTTCTGACACAACATAAAAATATGATTCAAACTCGACATGAAATTAACAGGTTATAGTTGATCATTTCTTCACACAAACCCGTAAATGATACGACTCGTTAATATGAATAATAAATGGATTAAGTTAGTGTCAAACACAAACAAAACGAAATTGACACGTTTAACTAATTTTATAGAAATAAAATGCTAAATATTTGTTATTGTTTAATTATTGTATAAAAAAGATATTTACTCATTATTATTGTTATGTTTATTAAGTTAATTTTTAATTTATAGAAAAAAAATATGAGCTTGGATTCAATTAATTGATAATAGAATATGAGAATTAAATCTTAGCGTTAAGTTCTTTATTTGATGTTTTATATGGATCAACACAAATATGAACACGAATACGAATACGAACTCGACACGAAAATAAATAGATTAATCAACACAACATGATTAATTAAATAAGTTGGATTAGTGTTGACTAATGCTTAACACAAACTCGCAATGACTCGACACGATTGCCACCCCTATAAAAAATAGATGTGCAACCTTGTATAAACAATGATGAAAAAAACCCCAGAAGAGGGTACAAACCACTCTAAATACAAGTAAACTTAAGTTTAAGAAATGCACTTCTTTTCTTACAAATTGCTTGCTTGGTCTCAGAGCCTTTACTGATTTAAGCATAGAAATGCATCCGACCAATCAACCCTGATCTCTAACAATTTATTCATTTTACGGGAGATGCATCCGACCAGTCAAACCCAGTCTTTGATAATTTATTCATTTTGCAGGAGGAGAACCTTTTCATTCGTTTTCGTAAAAATCAATCTTCAAATTCCATATCACCCTCGATTAAGATACCAGATTTTTCCCCATACAATTATGATACGAATTCATTAAGATTAATATCACATCATGAAGCTGATAAAATGGAAGGGACCAAACGAAAGAAGGAAGAAAGCAGCAGCCATGTGGGGGGGGGGGGGGGGGGGAGAACAAGAATCTTAGTGCAGAGCTTTTTGAAATCGGATGCAAGAAAACACGGTTAAGGAATCAGCTAAAATAGTGATGTTGACTTTGACATTTGTGTTTTCAAACTTCACATTTGTGGCTAGGCTGGTTGTCTCAGTCACATGCTTCCTTCATATATATATATATATATATATATATATATATATATATATATATATATATTAACATTTATAATATATATGGGTGAGATTAGTGTCAAAAGCGAGTAACTTAATTTTAACATGATTTGTTTCTTGAGTTTTGATTCATGGATTATGCGAAACAATCTGGGTGCAACAAGATAATAATGGGTCGGGTTAAAGTTGATTAGTGTCCATAACGAATTCAAATATTTTATGTCTCGATCACAAACGATACGATTCGATTGTCCCCTTTAACAAGATCAACAAGCTTGTATTGATGAGAGACCGGCTCTTATAGAATGGGGAGGAATTGTTTAATTTTGCTTTCAGTGTCTGTGAGATGTTGACATTTCGCTTGCCATACTATGCATAATCTTAGGTTGATATTGCATTTAAATCGCATGGTGATAAATATTTGTTCAATTCACGCTAGGAAGGAAGCAACAACGGCCATGCATGTGGGGGTAAGAATCTTACTGCAGAGTTGTTGAAATGGGATGCAAGAAAACATGGTTACGTAATCACAGCTAAAATAGTATAGTTGACTTTGACATTTGTGTTTCTAACTTCACATGGCTAGGCTGGTTGTTTGGTTTCATTTAGGTTAGTGTAATTTTAACATGACCCGGTTAGTGGGTTTTTGATTCATATGTCATGCGAATTAATTTGGGTGCAACAAGATAACAATGGAACGGATTAAAGTCGATTAATGTCCATTGCAAATCCAAAATATTATGTCTCGAACACAAACGATACAATTTGGTTGTCACCTTTAAGCAAATTAACTATTAGTGACGAGAAACCAAGTCTTCTATATTAACTTTTATTTGAATGTGTAATGAGAGATTTAGTAAATTCTATAGAAATTATTGATGGGCGTTCAATGTTCTATAGTTGGGCAAACCCTTTCATAGGTGGGACATAATAACCAGTTGAAATCTATTTTTTGGATCATAAAAGATTTATCCCTCATAAATACTCTAATTTCGGCATAGATGACTTGCCTTTGATTAAACTAGAAAGAAGATTAATCAAGGTGCACATAAACTAATTTAGTCTCCCCTAACCGTTGAACCAAAAAAAAAAAAAACATATTCCCGCCGACCATCTTTCATGTTCTATTAACAACTCCTCTCCTTATTCAAATGCTAATCCTTATAAAAAATACCAACGTTAGCTGAATTTTCTTTCCTACTTTGTTTAACTAATGGCAGACCAACAATTTTTAATCCTAAAATTATGATCTGACGATTTTGTTTTATATTTTTTAAAGGGTTAATAACGTAATTAAAGTATGTATTTTTTGTCAATTTAATCATAATTGTATCAATTTTCTCAATTTAAACCTTCAAATATTCAACTCATGCTATTTTGATCCCTACATAGACGGATCGTTAAGTTTTTAACGGAATAATCACGTGTCGAGCACGTGATACCGTCTAAAAAATTGACACGTGGTCATTTTCGTAAAAAAAATTGAGGAATTATCTAATTAGGGACCAAAGTGATACATATTGAAAATACTTTAAGAACCAAATTAATAAAATTGATATAATGAAGATAAAATTGATAAAAAATATATATTTTAACAACCAAAAATATTATTTTTTTAAATCCCTCAAAAGCTTCTCTCATACCTTTTCCCATCATCATGCATGACCTAAAGTTGTCACCGTCGTGGCCGGCGCTACGAGCGAAAATGCCGGAAAGTCATGGCATGTGTTATGTGTACGTAGCCTACATATAAAACTTGTCTGTGTGTGTCTAAGGTAATGAATTAATTGATTTTGATGATCTACTAATAAGACAGAATACATAGTACTAGACACTATCCCCCAACCCCTTTTTTTAAGAGTAAATTACATATAGAACTTAAATTATAATATTTATGTCAATTAAGTCCCTAATCTTTTTTTTTTGTATCAATTGACTCCATTAACTCTCTAATTATTTTAATTGAGTTATTCTGTCCGTCTTCGTTAGATTTTTTAATAAAAAGTGACGAAGTGTGTCACGTAATAAACTACACATATAATTCTCAAACTATGACTCTTATGTCAATTGAGTCGCTAAACTTTTTTTTTTTTTTTGGTATCATGTCACTCTCTTAACTTTCTAATTTAGTTATTCTGTCTTTTTGTGTCATATAGTCATGTAAATAACACATTCTAATGAAGGTAGACAGAATGACTCAATAGACACAATTAGAAAAATTAAGGGTTCAATTGACCAAAAAGAAAAAGTTTAAGAACTTAGTTGATATAAGAGTTATAATTTAAGGACTATATATATAGTTTACTCTTTTTTTCAATATCCTTTGAACTATATTGATATCGTTTTCTCTTTTTTTGAATATCCTTTATGGGTAACACTACTATACCATCAACTTATTTTTCGGTACTATACCGAAAAGTAAGTTGGCCTATCTGTATTACACGTGGCTCATTAAAATCGATTTCACCAGTATAGTGTTGAACCATAAAAGTAGTTATAATTGATACCAAAGAAATTGGAATTCAACCAAAAAAAGTTGGAACCTCAAAAGGTTGGAACCCTTCCTCCAAGAGTTGGAACCCCTAACCAAAAAATTTGTAACTCCTATCCAAAAAAGTTGAAACTTCTACCCAAAAATTTAGAATCCCTACCCAAAAAAGTTGAAACCCTTTCCCCCAAGAGTTGAAACTCTTACCAAAAAAAATTGAAACCTCTATCCAAACAGGTTGAAACTCTTCCCCCAAAAAGTTGAAACATCTACCAAAAAAAATTGGATCCCCTCCTTCCAAGAGTTAGAACCTCTATCCAAAAAAGTTGGAACTCCTATCCAAAAGGTTGAAATCTCTGCCTAAAAAAGTTGAAACTCCCACCCAAAAAAGTTGTAATCCCTCCCCCAAAGAGTTGGAACCTCTATCCCAAAAAGTTATAACCTTCCCAAAAAAATATAATCTAATCCTAAAAAATTAAACCTCATCCCAAAAACTTATAACACAATTCAAAATAGTTGAAATCTCATCAAAATAGTTGTAATCTAGCTAATTCGAGTCTCTCCAAAAATTAGAATTCAATCCAAAGAAGTTATACCCCTACCCAAATAGTTAGAAACATTATTTACAATTCTTTTAATTATTTAATTTTATTCATTATTTATTTGTTGTTAATAAAAAATGAGACTATTTAAAAAATATTGAATATTTTTTAACTGTAGTAGGAATTTTTGATTATTTAAAGGATAAAAGTGTGATAGTTAAGAGATAAAAGTGTGATATTAACCCTCGATCGGTCGTCCATTTTTTCGAAAGTCTTAATTCTTCTA